CACAAGCATAGCAGGACTGTGCCACCTTGCTTAATAAATTCTTATTGCAGACTGGGACTTGCTTTCATTATAATCTGACAGCTGGGTTATAGGGAAGCAACTAGTTCTCATTGGTAGCTATTATTCTAAAAACTAAAAACAAAACAAAAAAAAACCCTAAGAGCTATGCATGACAAAATTGGCTTAGGTTAATTTGTAAAGTAATATTGAGCCATGATTTTAAAATAAGTGAATGACTATAAAGTGTGCTGAATTGCTTTTGGAAAATGTTTTATTTTATCCTGAGAAAGTGCCTGTTGGAGAGAGGTGTCATGATCTCTAACAGCTGTCTCTGGGGCTTGTACCAGGGCAGAGAAGCTGTTCTCCAGAGAGCAGATTCAGAACAGGACCATGGTCTGTATAATCAGGATATGTGAACAACAGCATAGCATGACTGAAAAAATACAAATACCTTATTTCTTCTATGCTAAGATATAAGGACTCAAGAATCATTATTGAATATAGTAATATATAGTCATTTCAAACAGAGTATACTATAAAATATCCTACATTTTATCTTCCCAAACTATTAAAAAGATTCACCTTAGTATAAGGATGGTCCCACATGTATTCAAACTTCTAACAGGATCTCTTTGGAACCTTAATTCAAGCCTTTTTTAAAAGCACTTCTAGTTAAATACCTTTAAAAAAATTGTTTTTTATAGAATGCAATTTTCTGAAAAGCTGTAATTTAAGAGAAGATGAAAAACAGCATTTGAGGTTGTATTTCCACTGTGTCCCGACAATGGCAGTGGAAGACTTTTTCACTGAGCTGCCGCCACCTCATCTCCTAGAGGCGCACTGAGAGGACACCTGTGCCTGAAAGCTCTTGAATTCAGAGGTCAGAAGAGCCAATGCCTGGAGATAGTGCCACGCTGGGACCTAATAGCACTGCCCTGAATATGGAATAAATGAGATCCAGGTCTTCCCCACACAGAAGCTGGAATTAACTCTGTGTTTACAGCCGCCTGTTTTAGATTATTTCAGTGGATGTTAGTTACTTGTTGATTTGGGAAATGTTTATCTTTGTATATATCATAATATCTAACACAGTGTCAGGTAATATGATAAGCACATCATAATTATATTTTCAAATGTATTATGATTATATGCATTTAATAACTATTTCGTGTTTTAATCATTAGAATTAGAAAGATAACAAAATATTACCAGTAATAATTATATTTCTCTAAAAACACTGATATAAAATAAATTTGCATTCTTGTTTTTGTTTCATTCATTCATTCATTCATTCAAATATTTAGAAAGCACTATGTTTCTAGCACTAGAATAGGGACTGATAAATTCTGGACATTACAGAAAGAAAGGGAAAACATCCAAGTTAGTTTGTTTTCCAAGAGCTGAGATGTTATGGGGGGGTTGTAACAAATACTTTTTTAAAATGATAACTTTAAGTACGTAATCTCAAAGAAAATTATTCCTCTCCAAGGTTCCCATAAACCAGCATTTTATGTCTGACAGATAGAAAATAGCAAGAGAAGATAAATTTTAAAAGAAAATGTATCAGTAAAGTATTACAGGTTAAACAGTATTTTCTAAGATGTGTTTAGCCCAGGGGAGGATTATCCTTCAAACTAGGGATAATCTGATAGTAGTATCTAAAAAATGATATAACTTATATCAGAACTGCTAAGCAGCACTCAACTCCTGGCTTTGGAAGAACAAAAACTGTCACGGTATTGTCAAAAATGATGACTTTAATAGTGACAGAGAAGGCATAATAAAGCACAGATTTTCTTTATGGCCCAATATCTGATTTTTTACTGTGTGTCCCCTACATTACCTTCTCTCTCCACACTCCATTCTCAGTACTAGAAAAAATAAGCAATTACACAAATGGGACACCCTGACAAAACTGAGCTTTTCAACCTCAGCTTACTTCTTTTGTTTATGCACGTGCTGACTCCCCACTATCCTGACCACAGCACTGGGTTGATACTTCTCTATGTAAATAACCACACCCACCCACTGTTGTGCTTCAGGACTATGACCTGACTCCACTAATGTAATCAGAAGAATAAAACACTGGCATGAATCTTCAAATTTCATATCTTTAGCTCAGAAATTATTATTTATAGCCAAATATTTAATTCGACTCTAACATGACATAGCTTCCATTTTATAGAAAATACATAGGACAGCTCTTTCTCTTGGAGGAGGTGGGAGCAGCCTCCCCAGCAGACACAGAGATGGATCTTTGTGAAGACCCTGCCTGGCAAGACCATCACCCTCAAGGAGGAGCCCAGGGACACCACTTAGAGTGTCAAGGCTAAAATCCAGACAAGGAGGGCATCCCGCCTGACCAGCAGCTTCTGTTTTCTGTGGGCAAACAGCTGGAGGATGGCCACCCCCTCTCAGACTACAACATTCAGAAGAGTCTGCCTGCACTTGGCACTTCGTGTGCAGGGAGGCATCACAGAGCCCTCGCTGGAGCAGCTCACCCAGCACAGGGGCGACAAGATGATCTGTTGCAAGCCTTACGCCTGCCTGCACTCCTGCACTGTCAACTGACACAAAAAGAAGTGTGGCCACACCAATAATCTGCAGCCCGGGGAGAAGGGTAAATGAGGCCCCTCCACCAACTCCTCCTCCTGCCTGAACCCCATGGCCCTGGGGCCTCAATAAAGTTTCCCTTTCATTTACTGGAGAAAAAAAGAAGGAAAATACATAGGGTAGGATAACAACTGAACATCAACACCAAAGGGAGGAAGGGAGGGGAAAGAACAGTGACAAACCCTTGAGGGGAGGAGGGCTGTATTCTCATGAACTGGCCCCAGCTCAAGTCAGTGTCATCAAAACACTGGGGTACATTAACTGAAACACAAAGGGACGCAACAGTGAAACACTGCCCTCTATTTGACCTGACAGCATGCAGAAACCGAACCACTTTCTCCACATTAAACCAGCAAGGAACTTGGGAAAAATGAACTCATAGGTTCTACACGTCCACTTCCTCACATGCTATACTCCTGTGTCCAAGGAAGCACAGAAGTGTCCTTCCTTCCCCAGACTTGCCCTTCTGTCTGCAACACGAGCCTGTTCAGTCTCTCCCATCAGAATGTTTCTAATTCTTGCCCCTCTGCCTCTAAACAAGCTCAGATTTAATATATATATATTTCTATTCTCTAGACTACTTCTCTTCCTTTATAGACCAACTGCTCAAGAGTAATCTTCCTGGAGTAAAATTTACTCTTTTCTAACCTGGTTTCTAATTTTCCCACTCTAGTGAAATAGTTCATCTATCCTAGTATTATTTCCCCTGAAGAGCTCTGAGGCAACTGATAGTATCACACTCAATAGTCATAAAACCTTCCTCACTGACTATTTCAAATGATTCCTCTGGCACCTCCGAGTTCCCAAGCACAGGCACTGACCACACAGCCCCAGTGACCTCATTCACTCACCCCCTCCAACTACAGCTTCTTTTTCACTTCGTATTTCTATCCCCAACCAGTCTCGGGAACTTCCAAATGTGCGGTTACAAATAACTCTACCAGAGTACGACAAAGCCCATGTTCTTTTTTTTTTTTTTTAAGTCCTCACCTGAGGATATGTTTGTTGATTTTAGAGAGAGAGAAAGGGAGAGAGAAACATCAGTGTGAGAGAAACAATGATCAGTAGCCTCCCATACGCACCCCGACTGGGGGTCAAACAGGCAACCTAGGTGTGCCCTGACCAGGACGGAGCCCGCAATCTTTTGGTGTAGGGGATGATGCTCCAGCCAACCGAGCCACCCGGCCAGGGCACAAAGCCCATGTTCTCACCATTGCGACAACCTGCTGCTATCCTTGCTTTGCATCCCACAGCTACCACTCAGGCCCTCCCTCCCTCCTGGCTGGGATGCTGACGGCCTCCTAAGTGCTCTCCCCGGACCCAGCTATCTTCCAGACCCAACCCACATTACAACCTAGTCCCAGAATAACCTCCCTGATGCCTAAATGTGGTTATTTCTCACCTCTGCTCCAGGCTTAGGGGCTCTCCTTTTCCTTTACCACTGAATTAAATATAAACAGATTCTTCACACAAAAGATAATTTATCACACTTTTCCTTACATATACTGAAAAGTCCAGACAAACTGGACAAAATTATCTACTTCATGAACAACTATATGGTTCACTCCTATGCCTCAGATTCTTTTCCCTACCTACAATTTTCTCTCATACCTATCCTACCCTTGGAGCCTTGCATGCAAAAGGAAATTAAGATTGCAAATGATATTAAGGCTGCAAATCGGCTGACATTAAAATAGAAAAAGAATCCTGTATTATTCAGGTGTCCCCAATGAATCACAATATAATGACTTAAAAGTGGAAAAGTCAGAATCAGAAGGAAATGTGACTATTGAAGACATAAAGAAATACAATGTGCTGGCTTTGAAGATGGAAGGAGGAGACCAGAAGCAAGAAATACAGTGAAAAAAGCAAGTGAACAAGAATTCTCCCCAATACCCTTGATTTGAGCAGAGTAAGACATGTGTTAGACTTCTGACCTCCAGAACCAAAAGAGTAACATTTTTAAATATGATTTTCAGGTACTTAATAATCAAAACAGGACTAGTACCTGGGGCAATAGTTACTATAACCCTATTGAAAAAAAATAGTACAAAATGAAGAGCAATGTTAACCATTTCCCACAATAAAATACTCTTTTTAAAAAAATTTTAACCAAGGGCGCAGCTGTAAAATGAAATTCGTGTTAATTATCAAAATGGAGAACTTATGATAATATTAATCAAAGATATAAAACCTTGCTGCAAATGTAATTTGTATACAGGGAACATTTTAGTGGGAATTATAATCACTTGCTACAGAGCTTTTTCATTTTTCTTTCCCATGAAAATGTACAACTACTTTTCTATGTCAAATGTCCAAGGGAAAAAACACCACTGAATTCATGGAGTATACTGAATATTTTATGAGGAAGTTGGAGAGCAGCTTACCCAGTATTGATGGAAATGATTTCTATCAGTGGATTCTTCCTAATCTTCGGCAAATCCAACGGTGCTCCCCCCAACCGTTTCCCATTATCCTTCCTCTGACCCAGCAGTCTCACAGAGTGGCCTTCAAATAAAGCATATCAGCATACATTAGCACGAGTCACACAATTTCACTTTAATTTACTGCGTTCACAAATGTATTAATATTTGCATTTAGCTTTTTCTTTTATGAGAGAAAAAAAAAGAAAACCTAGAGAAGATGTGATCGTTGAACCTAAGAAATACTGCCAATGGGAAAAACAGCTGTGTTCGCGTCCTATGGTCAAAAGTGCTTTGCTTATAATATTGGCACATTTTACTGCACAGATGAGAGAAACAGAAATATTCTCAGAATGTCTTTCCACAAGGTATAATGCTCACTAGCAGAGACCAGATACTTATAGGAAGCAGGATGGGTTCACATGGGCACTAGGCATGCTGGCCAATTTTGGACTACAAGGGGGAAAAATGCAAAAGCAGATTATCTGCTCAAAGAAAAATGGTAAATCAAAGAAGTGAAGAATAAACAATCTGAATTTTTTAAAAATATATTTTTATTGATTTCAGAGAGAGGAAGCGAGAGGCTGAGAGAGATAGAACATCAATGATGAGAGGCAGCCATTGATCAGCTGCCTCCTGCAAGCCCCCTGCTGGGGATCGAGCCCACAACCCGGGCATGTGCCCTGAGCGGGAATCGAATCTCAGTCTCCTGGATCCTAGGTCAATGCTCAACCACTGAATCACACCAGCAAGGCAACAAGCTGAAATTTTTAAAACAAATAATCCACTTTAGGACTGGGTTTTTTAAGAAACAAGTGTTTCTGAACTTATTTTAAAAAAACATACAAAAGAAAATTAGACCATTACTAAAGCCATTAAAATTTTAATAATTTAAAAATTTTGAGTTAATTGCAAATTGTAGAAAAGACGAAAGAATAATACAAAGAATTCCACCCCCTTCAGGTTCTCCAATTATTATTTTCTGTGTGTACTTTGTCATTTACTCATTATATACATACACATTATTTTTTATAACTTTACTAAGGTACATCCTATAAAATTTACCCTGTGAATAAACAATTCAATTATTTGAAATAAATGTATACATTTGTGCAATCATCACAAAAACCCAGTTTTAGAGCATTTCTATCACCCCAAAATTCCCTCAAGCTTATTTATAGTCTTTCCCTGCTCCCATACCAAATATACAACACTATTAATCTGTTGACCAACTGATGACATTTGGATCGTTTCCAATTAATACCTATTATAATAATGTTTCTATGAATATTTGCATGCAAGTTTTCATGTGGATATATGTTTTCATTTCTCATGGACAGATTCTTATGAGTGGAATCGCTGGGTCACGTCGTAAATTTATATTTAACTTTATAAGAAAAAACCTGTTTTCTGAAGTGATGATACCATTTCATAACCCACCTGCAATATATGTGGGTTTCTCACATTGTAACATTTTTTACAACAGCCATTCTCGTGGGTGTGTAGTGGTATATTATTGTGGTTTGAATGACTATGCATTTCTATAATGACTTATGATGCTGAGTAACTTTTCATGTGATTATTAGACAACTTTATGTTCTGTTTGGTAAAATGCTGTGTTAATTTTATGTGTCAACTTGACAGGGCCACAGGATGCCCAGACTTCTAGTCAAATATTATTTTGGGTGCATCTGTGATGGTATTTCTGGATGAAACTGACATTTGAATCAGTAAACTAAGTAAAGCAAATTGCTCTTCCTAACACTGGTGAGTCTAACCCAACCAATCGAAGACCCAAATAGAACAAAAGTGTTAGTAGGAAGGAACTCCTCCTGCCTGACTGCAGAGCTAGGTCATTGGTCTCTGCCAACCTTCAGACTCAGACTGGACTATCAGCTCTTAATTCTCGTGGCTGCCCAGTTGCAGACTAGAGCTTACCCCATCAGCTCTCCTGATTCACAGGCCTTTGAACTTGGACTGAAACTACACATCAGCTCTCCCAGGTCTTCAGCTTGCTGACTTCAAATCTTGGGAAATTCTCAGCCTCCATAATGGTGTGAGCCAATTCCTTATAATACATCTCCTTATAAACACACACACACACATTGGTTCTGTTCTTTACTAATAAAAATGTCTAATCTAGAACTTTGCCAAAATTTTAATTGGAGTGTTTGTCTTATTACTGAGTTGTAAGAATTCTTTATATGTTCTTCTTACAAGAGCTTAATTAGATATATGATTTTCTTTTCTCACAATCTATCACATTGATGATATCTTTTGAAAAGTAAATGTTTTTCAATTGAATAAAGTTCAATTTATCAACTGTGTCTTTTATAGTTCATGCTTTTGTTGTTATATCTAAGAACTCTGCCAAGCCCAAGGGCACAAAGATTTCTCCTACATTTTCTTTTAGAAGTTTTACTGTTTTAGCTCTTATATTTATGTCTAGCATCCTCTTTGTTACATTTTGTAGTATAGTAAAGGTCTAAGTTCATTTTTTCCATATGGATGTTCAACTGTCCAAGTGCCATTTCTTTTCCCTCCTCTTCCTTTGTGCTATATGTTGTCATACATATTAACACATAGTTGTATAAACCCCAAAATACACTGGTATAATTATTGTTCTATACAACTGTATGTTTTTAAAGAGAACAATGTGAAAAATATGTATTTATAAGGTACTTTACCCACATAATTACCATTTCTCGCACTCTTCATTTCCTCCTGAGAATTCTAGTTATTACTTGGTACCACATCCTTTCTGCCTGAAGAACTTTTAGTATTTCTTATAAAGGAAATCTTATAGCTACAAAGTATTTCTATATTTGGAACTGTTTTCATTTTGCTTCATTTGTGAAGGATAGATACCTTGCTGGATATAGAATTGTTAGTTGATAGTTTTTTTTTCTGTGAGTATTAAATATATCATTCCACTGCTTTTGACCTTTCTTGCTTCTGATGAGAAGCCAATTATTCATCTTACTATTGTTCCCCTCTACATAAAGTGTCACTTCTTTCTTATGCTTCCAAATTTTCTCAGTCTTTCAATTGTTTGAGTTTAATGTGGCTAGGTGTGGATCTCTGTGATTTTCCTACATGCAATTCATGTAGCTTTTTGGATCCACAGAGTAATGTTTTCCATAAAGTTTGGGAAGTTTTCATCCAGTATTCTTTTTTTTCCTGTGTCCTCTCCTTCTGTGACTCCCATGAGACACTTGTTGGTGTGCTATATGTTGTCCCTCAGGTCTCTGAAGTACTGTTCATGCTCTTCTGTTTTTCAGATTGGTTAATTTTCTACTGGTCTATCCTCACATTTACTGCTTGCTTTCTTCTGCCACCTCAAACCTGCAATTGAACTCCTCTAATAACTTTCATTTCAGTTACTATACTTTTTAACTCTAGATTTCTATTGGTTCTTTTCATAATTTCTACCTGTTTATAATTCTGTATTCAAGTCACTGTCGATATTCTTTACTTAAAAACTTAGCATGGACCCACTTAGTGCTTGGAAGTCTTTGCTAAATCGAACAATTTTGCTAAATCAAAGACAATTTGTATTGACTTCAGTTTTTCCTTAAATATGGTTTTATATATTGTGTCTTTGAGTGTATCATAACACTTCGGTCATACATTTGTTCAAACATCTTGAACCAGTAAGATTTCTCCTATTTGCTGATGGATCTCTGTATGAGCTGGTAATAGCATTGAAAGCTAGGGCCATTTTCAAGTCTGCCCCAACTTTTACTTTCTCCCAGATTTTCCTGGGTCCTCTCCTACCTCCTCTGGATGTGCATGTAGGCTCCAGGGGCAGGTAAGCCCCAGGGTGGACTTGGCCCTCTCCAATCTCTACTGTGCATGTGCACAACCTCCAGTCAGCTTACAGTCTGTAAAGATTTCTGTCGAGCTTTCCATCACTGTCTCATTTCCCAGAAGCCCTAGTTAAATTCCTGGCTAGTCCACCTGTCCACTGTGCCAAACAGGCCCTCAACTTCAGCAGGGTAGAACCACGACTCTCCCTGTCACTTGCCATCAAAATCTCCACTTTGACAATTCTCCAGATCAACTGAGCTGTCCTGGGAGCAGCAGTAAAGCTGTTGGGTTTCATAGCCTGCTCTGTCCTGTTGAACATCCTTGACCACACAGCTAAGGAAAGTGACAAAGGAAAATGGGAGGAGTCCAAGGAGCAAACACCACAGGCTCATACTGTTCTTACTCAAAGTTCAGGTGTTTTCACAAATAAACACTTCTGTTCGCTGAATGCTTTCAGTTGATTTCCAGAGTGCTGAAATGGTTTGTTTTTAACCATTTATCCAGCTTTATCACTGCTTGTGAAGAGATCTGCTGACTTCCTCACACAATCATGCCACTGCAAATCAAAGCCACCTTCTTAAAAGCAATTATTTAAAACAACTTCAAATATGTATTTACTACAGATATAAGATTCTAAGCAATTATATACATCTTTCATCACCCCTCATTTCAGAAAGACACATTGTTTAAACATCTCTTATATAGACAGCTTTTCATGACCAGAAGTAATAAAACCATCAGTCATAGCCTTTTTGCACTAATCACTTTAATAAGAAACATTACAGACTTCATTCATTCTGAAAATTCTTGCTCTGATGTAGAAACATAGTTAGAGTCAAGTAAGCATTTGGCATACCAGATTTCACAGATTTTCAAGATAAGTTCAACTCTTCGATCAAATGTCCAGTTAATGAAGAGGTGAGCAAGATTGGCAGGATAACATAATAGTTCTCTGAGAAATGCCAAAAGTTCAATAACGACTATGCAAAGGCATGCTATTTTCATACGAGCGTGAGACAAATTTCATTATATCCTGCTAAGACTTCAGAAATACGCAGCCTACTCTAATAACATTTGATAAATTATTCATCTTCACTATCTACATGCAAATAAAGGAACATATCTCTGCCTGATGATATAATGAGTTATTTTCCAATCCGATGATTCATTAAAGAGTGGCAGACCTAACAAGACTGTTGATTTTTTTTTAGAAAACACTGAAAATATAGTACAAAGTAGAAAATAACATAAAAATACCTCATTATATCTAGCCAA